CGGCTTGACATCCCGGCACACCGGCTTAACAGTAGGTGGTTATCTCGGATGACGCGTGGTCGCAGCATCGCCGGCTCGCTCCCTTGCTCTTGGGGGTTTGTTGTTGTAAGTGAACTCGGAAGGTGCTGGGGAGTTCTCAGATTGAAGGCAGGGAGTGTTTGCTCAAGGACCGAGTTAGGCACCGGAACCCAAAGGGGCAGAACATCCCGAGGCACTTGCGGGCTGGTAGGGAAGATGTGGAGTGATTAGCGATGTAATTTGTTGAGTGCCTGCTGTGTCCCAGGCACTGTGGGAGCTCTTAAGAGAAGTTACCTCTTATAGTTTCCTCTGTGCGGCAGATATTGTTACTTTTTGCCTAATAGATGAGAAAAATAAGACTTGGTAGTACCCAAATAACTTTGCCAGCACTTGTAGGCCTAGCGCTTGTTCACTGCCGGGTACACATAGTAGGAGCTTAGTAAATGATGGAGGAGGGAATGGCCAGAATGTCTGATTCCACAGGCAGCCTCAAATACAGGACTTGCAGACTGTGCTAATGACAGCCTGTGTTTATGGAGCCGGTGTTGGCCCAGCCCTGCCATAGTGTGTTGAGTGAGTTCACTTATACAAGCCTGACAGCAATCTTATGAGATACGTTCTGTTAAATTTTCATTTGTAGGTGAGGAAATAGGTACAGTAGGCGCAGTATTACAGAGCTTGTGGCCAAGATGATGAAGATGCAGGTAATTTGGCTACAGAGTCCATACTCCTAAAACACTTGTTTTATCTTGACAATCAGTTAAGGTTAATGAGAGCTGTCTTTTTAGACTTATGATTATAAGTATTAAACCACTGGGATACATCCCCAGCCTTTTAAAAAATAATATATTTTTTAAAAGTTTTTATTTATAGATAGGGTCTTGCTAAGTTGTATAGGGCCTCACTAAATTGCTGAGGCTGGCCTTCGATTCACAATCCTCCTGCCTCAGCCTCCCATGCTGCTGGAATTATAAGCATTTTTTTATGGAGTTGCATGATAGGATGTCCTTTCTGGCCCTGTACCACTGCCCCTGGAAATGGATAGGCATAAGATCATTGTTGTTACTGAATCTGGGAAATGGTTTATGGCTGAGGGTTTGCTGATTACAGAATGATTAAACCAACAAAACTGATGCTTCAAACTTTTCTTTCTTTTTTGGTACTGGGGATTGAGCCGGGTACATGACTGTTTGGCCACATCCCCAGCCTTTTATTTAAAATTTTTTTAAGTTGTAGATGGACACAATGTATTTTATTTATTTCTGTGGTGCTGGGGATTGAACCTAGTGCCTCACACATGGTAGGCAAGTGCTCTACCACTAAGCCACAACCCCATCCCTCCTTTTTATTTTTTTATTTTAAGGCAGAATCTTGCTAAGTTATCTAGGGCCTTGCTAAGTTGCCAGCTGGCTTTGAGCTTGCCATTCTCCTGTCTCAGTCTCCCGAGTTGCTGGGATCACAGGTGTGTGTCATTTGTCTGGCTCACTTCACCCTTTCTTTTTGTTTGTTTTTGGTGCTGGGGATTGAACCTAGGGCCTTGTGCATGCAAGGCAAACACTCTACCAACTGAGCTATATCCCCAGCCCAACACTTCACACTTTCTAACTGCATATTTTTTCCCTTTTACTTGGCCTACAAAAGTAATCAACACATTTTCTCACTAAAAAGAATTACTGTCATGCATGATTACACCTGTAATTTCAGTGGCTGG